CCGCTCAATGACCTTTGATAGAACAGGTAACACCGAGATGGGTCGGTAGTTATTTGGATCAGTTCGATCGCCTTTTTTAAATAATGGCGTTACCTTCGCTGTTTTCCACCTTTCGGGGAATGTTCCGCTGGATAGCGAAAGATTTATTAATTTCGCTATACTTGGCGAAATGGCAGGAGCAGCTATACGCAGAAGACGAGGACTGATCATGTCAATACCAGAGGCCTTATTTGGGTTGATCTTCGTCAATATGCGGGATACCTGTATACTTGTTATTGCTGGAACTGAGAACAAAACATCCGGTTCTTTTCGAGAGTTCACATAATTGAATAACTTGGAAAGACAAATATGTGTTTGAGACATAGTACTTCTCAGTTTTTCGGCAATAGTTGAAAAATACACATTAAACTGCTCAGAAATGTCCTTAGAATTGTCCATAACCTGACCATCAACGTCAAGCTTATTTATCCCTCCATTATTTTTGTTACAGCCTGTCAGTGTTTTTATACACTTCCAGAGCGCATTAGTATTCTTCTTGTTCTCTTCAAAAGACTTTGAATAATATTCACGCTTTGCTGCTCTTAGAATGAAGACTGCTTTGTTCCTGGCAACACGATACTTCGACCAATCATCAGAGCTGCCTGTGCGCCGAGCCACCTTCAACAAATGATCCCTAGAGTGTAAATGTTTAAGTACAGTCTTTGTCATCCACGGGGGCTGTGTTTGACGTTTTACACGTTTCTCACGCCAAGGACAATGTGACTCTAATAAAGTATTAAATGTGGTCTCCCATGCAGAAATCACATCATCTATGTCCTCAAATACGAATGCAGCTTCCCAAGGGGCTTCTTGAATGGATTGTTTAAATTGGTCTTCATTTAATCCCTTCATGTCACGGTATCTGATTGTTTTGATGGGCTTGATTGGTCTTTTATTTTCACCAGCATACTTTCTAACGGCAATTACCAGAAGGTGATCAGAAAGACCATAAGTGTGTGTACCAACAAAACTTATTCTCTGGGGATGATTAGCAAAAACATGGTCCAAACAAGTCTTACTAATGGGTCTAGTTACCATAGTGACGAGCTGATCAAAATTCATACTTGTAAGAGATCGAATTAAGCGATGCTTTTTGAAGGAGGGTTTAGCAAGATAATTTATATTGATATCACCAGTTATGATTGTTTCTAAGTTTAATAAATTTGCGTTCTCTATGCTCTTTTCCAGTCGTTCGTCGTCTTCCTTCAGAGATGCAGGTGGTCGATAAACACCGCCAAATAAAAGTGGTCGATTAGACTTGAAGGGATAGACTTCCAGCCAAACCGCTTCAACACTTGAATCTTCGAGGTCATTCATTCTCCTGTGTTTCAATTCCTTATTCACATACACCAGCACTCCACCCTTCTTCTTTTTCCCCTTACGATCACTACGATGGATGTCGAATCCTGGCACCGCGTAAAGAGAATCGGGAATTTTAGGTTTTAGACCAGTTTCGTTTATAGATAAAATATCGATCTGCGGGCGATGATGTTTGTCCAGCATGAATAGTCGAACCTGTTCAAATTTCGCTAGAGAGAAACCATCAACATTCCATGTTCCAAACCGTAAACCTCGTTTATTTCTCAGGCCAGTGTTGAAGTACTGATTACCGTCAAAATTATCATCGCTCGAGGAATCCAGTTCATMATCYGTGAGATGGTCAGTAGAAAGACAATCTTCCGACAAAGACTCTTCTTCGCTAGTCAGTGAAACAAAGCTCGAATCTTGGCCAACAACTTGGTTCCCAGAAGGTTGAAATTGCGGTCCTGGGTTAAT